ATACCATAATAACTTCTGGGTGATAATTATTAGTTTATGATACCCCCCTCGTATACTGAACTACAAAGGCAGAATAGAAATTCTAAGAATGGTTTTTTTAAAATTATTGTTGTGATCTATGTTGTTTTAACTTGGATTTATTTAATAATGTTTTAAGGGGAGGAGGGAATTTGACTTGTTTTGTAATATTTTATTGTTGTTAGCCGCCCCGATTAACCTCAAAGGGGCGGGATATAAATAATAATAATAATAAATAAAAATAAATAAAAATAAATAAATCACTGCATTGGAATCAGTTCGGCCCTGAACCAAAGAGTCCTTCATAAAAGTTTCAGCTACCACTACTCATCTCTGCCTGAATTACAACTAACATATTTCTTCTTCAGCCTTTCCAGAAAACCTTTATAAAGCAAGAACAGAACTAAATGCATTTATGGGGAGTGGGAGGTGGCAAATTTGTTACAAAGCAAAAGTCTCACATTCCCACAAGAAACTGTTTTCATGTTTGCTCTAACAGCAGCTGTTTTATGCAAATTGTTTGAATTGCAAGTTAATTTAAGTATCTCCACTGTAAACATGACTTTAAGGATTTGGTCTCGAACCTTCCAAAGAAAAAAGGAAAAAAGGAGTCCAGCTAAATACTCAGTCGTTAGTGATAGCTTTTTTTATTTTTTACTATATCATCTGTTTTTCATATTAGTGAGATGACACAATACAGTGAACATCTCATTGTCAAGTACAGTTCCATGCTTCCAGGTGGGCTAGTGACAACATAATCTGCCTCCTCGGAATTTGTTTCAGTCCCTAGAGACTGCAACCATTTCAAATACTAGTAGGAACCCTTCATTGGTCAAGCACTCTTCTGAAAAACAACAGGGGCTCTCTAACAGTGTTAGGTTTTGATTTTATTCAAAACCCATTTCTCAGGTTCCTACATTCTGAAAGCAGCTATCAGTTGTATGAATCCAGCAACCAGGAAGTTCAGTTTGTGTGAACCCTATATTCTGCAACAAAAAGAGACAAAGTACAGCTTAGTCCAGGGAGAGCCAAGAGGTTCTTTTCCTAGTTATGAGAAGTTTCCTTCTTTGCCTTCTCTGTTTTTCCCTTATGCTGACTGGGCTGAGGTCTGTGTGCCTGATAGCTCCCATTGTGAAGTCGTAGGCTTTCATGGCCGGCATCCATAGTTTTTGTGGGTTTTTTGGGGCTGTGTGGCCATGTTCTAGAAGAGTTTCTTTCTGACATTTCACCAGCATCTGTTGGTGGTGAAAAGTCAGAAAGAAACTCTTCTAGAACATGGCCACACAGCCCCGAAAAACCCACAAAAAAGCTCCCATTGTCCTTGAACTACAGTGGGCCCTTGGTTTCCACTGAGGGTTGGTTACAGAAAAACCACCCCCCATGGATGCCAAAATCTGTGGATGCTCAAGTCCCATTAAATACAATTGGGTAAGAAAATGGTGTCCCTTACAGAAGATGGCAAAAACAAGGTTTGCTTATGAATATTTTCAAATTTATTTTCAAACTGTGGATGCTTGAATCTGTGCATAAAAAATCCATGGATTCAGAGGGCCAACTGTATTCCTTATGGATCCACTTCACCCTGTGTAATGGACATGCTAACCCAAGCCAGCAGGTCAGTAGCCAGCTGCCTGGGAAATTGGACAGGGGGGTGGGGAGTAGAAGAGAGTAACTTCTGCAAGCTTTGATTAAAAAGGAAGGAAATATTTTTATCATGTTGGGAAAGAGCAGGGATATGAAGACATCTCCCTAAACTATTCATTCTGAATGAGTCAGGCTGTTTTGACACAGCAAGTATACTTTCAAGAGTTCATGAACCCCACCAGATTTCTCTTCTTCACCACAAAAGCAAATGCTTCTTTTTTACCATTAGGATTTTTGAAATTTGTGCAAAATGTCTATGTGCAAAACTTGTGTCCTTTCTCTTTGTGAATCAAAGTAAAAACACATACACACGCGCACACACACAGCAAGTACAAAAGGACTGGTGGATTTGTAAAAAACTACAAACAGTCCATCTGATATATCTTATTTTTAACTAAAGCTGCATCCACAATGCAGAAACAATCCAGTTTGACACCACTTTAACTGTCATGGCTCAATGCTATGGAACTCTTGGTCCAAACATCAATCAGGAAGGAGAATGCAGTCAAGAAATCAGAAGACTAGGAATGGGAAGGGCAGCTATGAAAGAAATAGAAAAGATCCAAAAGCGTAAAGATATACAACTGATCACTAAAGTTAGAATCATATAAGCCAGGGGTAGGCAACCTTTCCCCTTTAAGGGCCGAGGGACTTCAGCTCCCAGAAGCCTCAGCCATGTTGGCCAATAGTCCCATGTTGGCCAATAGCTCCTGGGATTCTGGGAGCTGAAGTCCCTCAGCCCTTAAAGGGGAAAGGTTGCCTACCCCTGATATAAGCCATTGTATTCCCCAGCACCATGTATGGATGTGAGAGATGGACAGTGAAAAAATCAGATTATAAGAAAATCAATTCCTTTGAGATGTGGTGCTGGAAGAGTGCTAAGAATACCATGGGCAGCCAAAAAGACAAACAAATGAGTCCTTGAACAGATCAAGCCTGAAATCTCCCTGAAAGCAAAGATGATCAAACTGATGAGCTTATCACACCACACTATTAAAATGGGGCTAGTTTGCTTTAACAGCTCTGACTGCCTCCTGTTTCATTTTGGGGTTTGTAGTTCTGTGAGGCTTAAAGGCTCTCTGGCTGAATATTCTAAATGCCTCTTCCTAAACTACAAGTTCCAGAATGCAACAGGAGGCAACAACAGCACTTAAAACGACCTAGCCCCATTTTAAAAGTGTAGAGCAGGGGTAGGCAACCTAAGGCCCGGGGGCCGGATGCGGTTCCCCTGAGGCCTTTGGACCGGCCCCAGGCTGGTCCTGCCGCCTCCCCCCCCGCCGCCGCCGCTGCCCGCCATGATGATATTGATTGTTGTTATTACTTGTTCTTGGGGTTTTATTGGCAAAATCTCAACAGGGGTTTTGCCATGGCTTTTCTGGGGCTGAGAGAGTGTGCATGCATATTTTTTTATTTTAAAAAAACAACAACATTATTTTTATTTATTTATGGTGCTTTGGCCCCCCAATTGTCTGAGGGACAGCAACCTGGCCCCCGACTCAAAAAGATTGCCTACCCCTGGTGTAGAGCGACAGTACTGAAAGACTGTGGTACTTTGGCCACATCATGGGAAGGCTCATAAGAGAATAATGCTGGGAAAGATGGAAGGATGTAGAAAGAGAGGAGGACAGCATGTCAGATAAATAGACTCTATTACGGAGGTCACAGGTATGAATGTACAGGACCTAAGGTAAGTGGTGTAGAATAGGGAGTCTTGGAGATGTCTCATCCAAAGGATCAGCATGAGTCAGAATCAACTCAAAGGCAGTTAACAGCCATCTATCTATCTACAACAATCAATTGACTGTGCTCAGAGGGGTGGGGTATAAATAAAATTTTATTATTATTTATTATAATCTATCTATCTATCAATCTATCTATCTACAGTATCTAGTTTTTTACACTACCTTTCCTTGGGTACTTCAGGGAGGCTTACATTTTCAAAAGAATTAGGAACACCATAAAGAGAAAAATAAAAGTATAAAAAGAAGATTGGTCTAAGATAATGTATGTGAACAAGTACCTTTACCTTACCTTTACCACCAACGTGCACATCTGTGGTAAACCCCAAGCATTCTTGGATTACCACATTGTGCAATCATGGCCTAAGGATAAGGGATAGTAAAGGTAACATATAATGTAAGAACCTAAGAGCCATGATGGATCAGATCAAAGGCATAACTAGGCCAACATTTTTTTCAGAGCAACCAAGCAATTGCCTACTGGAAGCCTGCCAGCAAATTCAAATAGATAACAACACCCAAAGAAAGAAACTCTTCTAGAACATGGCCACACAGCCCAAAAAAGCCCAATAAAAACTATGGATGCCAGCCATGAAAGCCTGCAACTTCACAACAACGCTCAAACTTCACTTCTCCTATTGGGACAGCCAAGACAGAGGGTGATGATCTTTACAATCTCTGTCTAG